GTGATGATAATAAATTATAACAAATTTTGTTGAAGTGTTAAAAACAAAAGTTTTCAGTGTTTTCTTGTTTGGTAAAATTAACTTCCTTCAAGTAAAGCTCGAATACATCACTTTATTAAAATTCATCCCTATTTTTATATTATAAAAAATACTAGAGTTAACATTGATACTGCAACCTTCACGAACGAAAAAAATAAAGGACTACGAAATTTTGCAAGCGAATATTTATTTCTACATAAAAATAGAGAAAATAAACAACTATTACCTTTTATAAGTATTATATTTGAAAGTTTTGACTTACGGGACCCAGGTTTAAAAAAAATATATCAAAATTGGTTTACCAGGAGTTGAGATAATTAAAATTTTTAAGCGCGTTTCTATTTTGAATGCCTGATTTCATTAACCCTGCGTTGGTCGCATTTTTTTTATTGGGGCAATAGAAGGATTTTATCCTTGCACCTTGATTTGCTTGATTTTCCTCAGGAACATCTCGTTTCTGTGTCAAACGAAGATTCAGATATTTTTTAATTTGCAAAGTTAGCAGAAATGGCAAGTTTTGGGCCGCTCTTTTTTGCATATGTGGGGTAATGAGTTGTCTGGCTAAAATTTTCAAATACTCACGTCTTGGTGGGCAGGAATCTAATACATTTGTCCTAAATATAATGTTTCCATTTATTCCAGCGATGTTTAGCTTAGTAAAAAAACAGTCAATGGCCACCTACATTTGATTCTTGCCACTGAATAAAGACTCTTCAGTTGGTCCACTGAATCTACTCCCGATTTTGTTTGATTGTAAAAAGTAACTACTGCTGGTTTGCAAGCTTCACCACTTTTCTCGTCAATTTCTCCATATTCATGGAGGGTTGACGAAAGCAGGACATTCTTATTTTTTTTTGGGACGTACGAAAGTAATAAACATTCACGACCAAAAGCAAATAAACTTTTACGAATTGGCCTTTCTTTAGTTGCAACAAATATTTTAGGAATTTCACGTTTGTCTTTTCTAACTGTCCCAACTAAAGTTATTTTTTTCTTTTTTAATTTTTCTGCCAAAGGAACTGACGTGAACCAGTTATCACAAGTTAAATTTCGTCCTGAATCCATAATGGGTTTACACAATCATCTCATCACACTGGCTTGACTGTTGTCAATACAAAATGGACCATCAGGCTGCTTTCCTGCGTAAATCTCCATTTTCACTGTATAAAATACTCTTAGCCAAGGCAAATCTTTTTATCCCGTATTTGTTTAGTTTACTTGAAATATATTTCCTGAAGCTGCATCTTCCACGGAAACCCTCCAGCATTTCGTCAATAGTACAGTTCTCACCAGGCGTGTAGCAGGTTTGGCATATTTTTATAAATTTCTCAAATATATTTCTTATTGGAGCTAACTTATCAATTAAGTTGCGTTCAAGTCTTGTGTGAATATTATCAAAACGTAGTGCTTGAAGCACTACGCACGAAACGTTTCAGGGGCATTACCATTTTGAATAACTCTAAAACGTTAAAATAGTATTTGTCGTATCATCGGCCGAAAACATTGAGTCTGTCTCATGATTATAACTAACTTCTACTGAATCTATGTCGCTTTCCTCATCGTCAAAATTTTGCTCTTGCGTCTGTTCAAGTAACAAATCCTCTTGCTCCAATTCTTCATATATTTTTAACAGTCTGGCCTCTTATTTAGGATCCATTACACAATAATATTTTAAAGTTATATGATTTAAAATGTTATACGTCGTTATTCGCGAGTGAGCTAATCGTTCATTTCTCGACATCTGCGTTTAATCAATACTTGGAATAGACTGACGGTTGCTCATCACAATTCTGCGTAAAACATTCTATATACAATAGTAGTAGGAAGGATTATATAAGCACGGTTGCCAATGTGAGTAAAATTGTGAAAAATGTTAAGAAAAAAGTAAAATGGTGAGCGTTGCGCTCACCATGCGACCAACGCAGTATTAAGACGGCTGAAATAGATATTTTTATCGCTTTTAGTTACTAAAATTTTTGTTGTAGATACAGAATAAAATAAAATCAAAATTTATAAAACGTAACTAAAAAATTGTGTTTAAATAGTATAATTAACAATTTGTTGCACATTTAAAACAAAAATATACACAATGATCAAGACAAAGAAAAATATCACATTTCACACATTTTTTTGACACTTTCTGTCCTTTTCACGGGGACACACTCAATATATTTATGTTGTTTCTTGTTGGAAGGTCCTTGAATGTCGTCTTCAGTTCCATATTTTTTTACTTCCGCCCTTATGTGTGGTGGTATTCCTTGGTTATTACTTCGTTTTTCAATATAGGGTTTAATTGATGCCAAATCAAGTTCTTTAAAAATAAATTACGTTTTAGTTTTTCAGTTGGCTTGTTATGATATGTAAATAACATAACTATTTATTCCTGCATTATTATCCAGTGAAAAAAATTTTAAGAGGCCATCGCAAATTTAAGGAGATTGTTGGTGTATCCCTCTTGTGTTTACGAATAATTCCAACAGATGTTAACTATTGTTTACTAAGCAAAAGTTCCATTAGTAGTATGCTGCTAAGCAGTTGTCAAATCTAATGTTGCGGTTAGTATCACGTATTGGATATACAAACCTGTTTACTACATTAAACGGTCGAAAACTGAATTGAAAAGGTCCTTCAGGATGTGAGCCAACATATACCTCTAAATTTAAAATGTAGAATCACAGAATAGTAAACAAACAGAATGCCCACTCTCCACGGAAAATTAAGTACGCGCATCTCCTTCGCGCAGACGTTCCGCCATGTTTTACGAGGATTTTAAAGGGAACCAGTGTTGTTTATGTGGTGTGCATGGAAAAAAAAACCAGGTTTATTTGACTTACGGCAATCATAGACATACTATACAATTATATTAACAGTTTTAAATATAATAACATAAATATAATATAATTAAACATAAATGTAAACAATTGCATAACCTCACAAATCATATGTTTGTGTCCTCCTAAAACATGGCGCACGTGCTGAAAAACTTCAAAGGCGGCATCTGAGAGTGGCCCTTCTGATTGTTTATTATTCTGTGGTAGAATGTTTTGGTATCCACTAAGGTAAATGTTTGAATGCTATATTTGGACGGCCTATTGGGAATATATTGCCGAAAGGAACAATGTCCCCGAAAAAATTTTAATTTTTCGTCTATCGTCAAGTATCGACTAGGAATAAAATATTGTTAATAATGCTGTAAAAATTGATTAAAAAGAGCTCATATAGCCGCCAGTCTATCTACTCCTTTTCGTTCTTTTCTATTTTAGATATTATCGAATCGTAAACACTTTAAAAGTAATAAAAAGCTTTGCAAGTTTGCTGTTAGCCAAAAAATGCAGCTTTAAAATCCTTCAGATTTAACTCATTTGTATTACAAACACCTGACAGATATAATAATTCAAAAACTGCATAAATTTCTTCTGCATCCGTAGGCTGTTTGGGATACTTTTGTTTGTCATTATAATCCATAAACTGATTTTTTTTTAGTGATTTGGACAGTATCTTCTAAAATAATATTATCCATGAATAATTTTCAGCAAGAAATGGGCAACTTGTAATGTTTTGCAATATTTCGAACATCGGGAAGTAGAGTATTTAAATTTTCTTGTCGTGATCTAACCGATTTATTAGGATAGTTTTGTTTTCCCATCTTGTCCGATAAAAAATTTCCATTGTCCTAGTATATCCTGTTTAAACGTATAGTTTTCTTGAGATGTTTCCAACAATAATTGACTTTCCTAATTAGAAGTTACAGGATGATAATTTTCACTGATTGAAGTTGGTTTTTAAAACATCCTTACTGGGACGAAGGCTAACCTACTGACTTCCATTTTCAGATTCGCTTTCTGATCCTAACTCCGATCCAGTTAATTCATACTGCCAAAGTTTCAATAGGGCTTCTTGTCTTTTTCTTAACTACTCATATTTCTGTATGTCTAAAATTATTAATTATTCATTAATATTAATTTTCAATATTCCTATCAATTTAATTATGTTTCTGTTAAAAAAATCCAAATTTATTGTGGTAGTATAAGAACGTACCTTAAAGTTAAAAATAATTCAGTGTTGTGGATTGAAAATTTCCAAAAACTAAATAATTCTGAACTTCAACTGTTTGGTGGGGTAAAAATAACCCACAAATTCAAAGAACGCGGCACCACTCATTCAAATCTTATTAATATACTGAAATTTATGATGCAATACAAGGTCTGTTATAATATGAAAAGGTACTGGTGGCGCCAGACAAATCTGGCAATGTCGCTACTATTTTAACAAGCGCTAATGAACGACGTAAGTGATTTTTACCCCTCAACACAGTTGCTAAGTTAAGGACATAAAATGATGACCTTCACAATATCCAATTATTTTATTCGTGAAAAAACTCAATAAATACCAAACTTTACCTATTAATTAAAAAATCATAATTCCTGTGATGCAACGTGGCACAAAATATATTTTTTTCTGATGAACGTCATGTGGAATGCAATCTTAGATTCCTTGCCAAGTAATTTATCAAGCTATTTGCTTTGTAAGTTTTAGAAAGTACAGTGGTAACAATTTAAATTCGATTTCGGCAGGTAGAAATCATATGATTTCTCTTTTTGTTATTAGATGGCGTAGTTACGTCCTTATATAGTTATTTTGATAAATATTGTCTAAGACGGGACTAGATTTTGTTTTGATCCAGAGTAGTGGCTATACCGCTCTGAGGAGGTCGAAATATGTATAAGCGGCTTGCCGTTGCTCTGTATTAAAACAAAAATCAAGTACCGTCTTTATATATTATAATATATTTTTTTATTTATTGTATAAATATGAATTAACAAACTTTGAATATTTATGTCATGTGAACTTAAAAACTACTTCGTTCATTTAACTCAAATTTAACACACTTTTGGACAATATATCATGTGATGTTTGAAAATTGTGATTTTTTCTCTAATACGACAATTTATTTATTATAGATCCTTTCGAAAGTGTTCCTAAATGTTATTTATGCTTCGCTGAAGACGGACTTGAAAGTTTAGTTATGGAGAATTTAAAAACACAACAATACGAGCTGTGGGATAAAAAGGTCCCAATGAATATAGGGCATATTAAAGCCATTCTCATTGAGTATGCCAAATTTCACGCCGTTTCATTGGCAATGAAACAAAAAAATCCGGCATTATTTAAAAAATTGACAGAAGATAATGCAGGTGATGCATTTGACAAAAAATATGCCAATGATAAGGATAAAGAAGAGAAGTTTAAAAATTTTATGACTGCTAATTTATCCAATGGTTACAAGGCATTGAAAGATGATCCAGTGTTGACAGAACATCTTAAAAAATATGAACAAATTGCAGGTCCTGAATTTTTTAATAAAATGAAAGGACCAGAATACAAACTTGTTATAACGCATGGTGACTGTTGGTGTAACAATTTCATGTTTAAATATCAGGTAAATACACGATTTATTTTGTAATTTAATACAACTTAACGTGACACGAAATATCGAGACGCGTAGAGTACCTTTAAATCCATAATAATGAAATATTTATAATCAAAATAAAGTAACTTCAGTTAAATACAAGATAATAATGAAAATTGCACTGATGAATAGATTCTATATTATACTTAACAAATATTCAACTAAATTGAATTACTACAATCATTAAACAAAATTTTTAAAGAAAAAAATGAAAATCATGAATGTGTTGCTTGTGTGAGTCCATTTCAAATAGGTAAAGAAATAATAAATAAGACTTACTCACAATCAATTTAATTTAACTATCAGACGACCGGTTTCGCTTTCTACAATATGCAAAGCATCCTCAGGTCTCGATACAAAGTTAAACAAATGCTGAAATGATAAAAACCCATATTAGGGTGTTGTCTAATAAAGATAAACAAAGTAGATGTTGTAAATTACAATAATTATGCCAATATTACATGTCTGCGGTTTTATTTAAAAGAGTAAGTTGAATAAAAAGTATAAAAGTTTTAAAAGTTTAAACAGACAAGGTAAGGCCCACAAATTGTTATAAAATAGTCTATTAGATTGCAATAAATTAATAAATGAGCAAATAAATAAAATAAACATTACTTACATGCCGGTACTCTATTAATTGATGGATGGTAGAACATGGTTGAAAATACTATGTATTGTTGAATGGAGAACTCAATTCCGTTATTGCAGTTGTTTGACAGTAAACAGGAAGTTCTTGAGGAGATAGATTTGATCCAATGAAGAAGAGATATGTGTGTGATTGTTTGTTAAATTAAAGTGATTTAATATACTATTGTATTTTTAAAAGTTATTTATACTTATTCGAGAGATATATTTATGAAATGTGTGTTATTTATTGAGTAATTGTTTTATGAAGGTGACAGTTTTATGACAATGAATAAGTTTAGATGTAAATATTGTGTGGGTGTGCAATTATTTTTTAACTTGTAGTTCTCAAATTACTTTGATAAAGTTCTATTGGCAATTAGTAAATTATTGAAAAGTCAAGTAAATAAAATATTAGAATAAAAACAATTAAGGACAATTTAAACACACTAAAACAGAAAACACTTAGAAGGGACGAAACAAACATTAAATTTAAAAGGAAAGAGGAATTTTATGCACTACATCTCAGTCTTGGGCACAATGAGTTTTTTTATGTTTTATCTATTAGATTTTAGTGGTAAATTCGACAGATGTAGGTTACCATGTGACAGATCTTCTTCTGTTTCTCAATACTGTAAGTTAAGTTATCTAGTTTTATAAAATATGCTGTTATTAATGAATGTCTATAAATTGTTTCAATTAAGATATCAAAAGTAAATTGATGGAAATATGGAATGGAAATATGCTTTATTGTCACTGAAAATTATTGAACAATTTTATGGACAAAGCTAAAAAATAAATCAGTCAAATAGTACAAAAAGTATAAAACAAAAACAAATATAGTAAAAAATATAGTAGTATATAGTAGTATATGTGTTTAATATTGGCATACTTTAACAATCTTTAATTAATCAAATTTAATGTAACAATACGAATAATTGAAATACATCCCACAATATAACTAACTCAGTCTAACGTCCAAATTACTGAACAAATTAAAGTGATTCTTTGGCAACTGAACATATACATTTTATAATCAAATGTATAATAAGTTTACAAAGTTTTTTATTTTTATTTGAAATTTTTGTAGGTGTGAGTTATCTGTCATGGTGTTTTTTTAAATATTTGAGATATTTAATTTAAATTCTGATATATTAATATATTAATATCTAATATACTAATATGTAACCAAAGCAAAAAATGGATAATTATTGATGGTAAATAATTTATGGGCTCAAGAAATTTACTGAATTATAAAGCCTTCAATAATTAGTTGGTAGTTCTAATATCTGACAGTTGGAACCGTAAATTGTTATACGAACAGGTAGAATTATCCTCTATTTAAACCGGTATAAAGTAAATTTATTCTTGTTCCAATTTTTCGTGTCATATGAACAGATATTCCTCACACCGACATGAACAATTCAGTAATAAGCAGACATAAACTTCATTAACCCACATATAGTAATAACGCGCTTTAAGAGTTATTCACTTCGATCAGCACTCCCCATGTGCCACGCGACGTTTTTTATATAGATTTATTTAATATATTTTTTTCATATGTTTCTTACATATTCATTTCTCTCTGTCTCTTTATGTTTATTAATTGAATGGATTAAAAAGAAAAATACTTAGCTGAACGCTTTCGACGTACAACGCCATCTTCAGAGCTTTGCATAAGTAAAGTAGGTAACTTCATGTAAGTAACTAAACGTAACGATATATAAAGTTAGTCAAATTTTAAAAATTACCACTATACTCCATTCCACGAATATACGACTGTTTTAAGCTCTTAAATCGTCCAATGTGTTGAATTGTACAATGGTAGATTCTCCCTATTTTTAAAATACTGTTATGACAGATATACACCTTAGATTTAAATATGAAGTTATGATCTAAATATAGAATAGTTGTAATTCAGATTTTGAAGTATACTCGTATAATTACTCTCATTGACTTTAGTATTGTAAACAAGTTGGTTTTTGAATTAAGTGATTTAAACGAAGTGTAACAATACTTAAGTGATTTAAACGAAGTGTAACAATACTTAAGTGATTAAATAGTTTAATTTGTTTAGTCGAATATTCAATAAGTATTAAAAAACAAAAAAACTTACTCTTACTCTTATTCTCCTAATCACCATTACAAACAAATACACTACACTAAACTCTTTCTTAACGGACACGTCCCTTCGCCGCACACCTCTATACGGACGGTTTTTAAAACTAAAATTAGTCGGCGATTTATGAAACTGTATGTAAATTTTCGTTACTTTTTAATATCTGTAATGACTCGGTACTTTAACTATCAATAGCCGCCATCTTATACCCGTTACTTTCGGAACTTTTAAGAGTAGGTATATCCACTCAAAGCAAACAAAAAACTAACAAAGTGGAATACCAGATTCTTTTTCTGGTTTCTGAACCATCGTTCTGCCAATTTCTTTTTATTTACATTAAAAATAATATATTTCTTTTTATTACCGTTCTAGTACCTAAGAAAGTAATAATGATACCCGGCGCGCCTCTTTGGTGTTTACAGTTCACCGAAATCCAACCCAAATGCCTGATGAACACATTTTAACTTCATAGAGGTCATTGTATTTATTTGTAGAAGCGTTTGCGTAAATTTTTTTGTTATTTTCGGATTAATTTTCACAATAAATTTTGCGTCTATCTAAACATCTACTAACTGAAATAATTTTAGTTTATATGTCGTAGTAACAGAAGATCCTTTTTAATGGAATAATAATTAGACCAATTTACTTTCATACTTCTACTTGTACAGTTATATTCGTTGTAGCAATAATTCCAAACAGTCGTATATTCGTGGAATAACCTATACTAAAGAGGGATCATGAAAATTCATGGAATATGGAAGCCAAGATTCGGCAGAGAATGAGATTCACCACTAGATCACAGGACCTCCCAGGTCGTAACTCCTGTGACAGAACTAGAAAAGTGTCTTGAAATTTTACAGATTTTTATCAAAATATGTACCTGTAATGTAAGGACAATGTATCAGGCTAGAAAACTTCATAATACCATTCAAGAAATGACAAGACTTGAAGTAGGTATAATGGGCATAAGCAAAATAAGGTGGCCAAATAGTGGGGCTTGTATTGTTGACAACCATATGGTATACCACTCGGAAAATTATGATCGTCAACACATGTATAGGGTTGGAGTCATCGCATCTCCTCAATTACGTCAATATGTTACAAATGTTATCACCAAAGATTAACAATAATCCGACTTAATAGTACACCAGTCAAATTAAACGTTTTATGTATACCCCAACTAGTGATAAATCAGAAGAAGGGCTAGAGCAATTCTATGAGTTTTTGATAAATTCACTTGAGGCTGTTTTATCAGTGCACCAAAACCTTGGGACAGTGTTTTCTCTGTTATTTACCGATAAGATGTCTCGAAATTTGGACACTTTATTCGAAATTATGTTGCCTTTAAAATGATGGTTTTACTTTTTTTTTATTTTTTTGAAACTTCTGTTGAAAAATTGAATTATACTGTTTAACATTCTATTATAACCAAACTTTTTACGCCCATCACTTGAAAGAGTTTTTTTTCTGTAATCATTGATTTTTGGTTCACCTTTCTGTGTTCAGTAACAATCGAGAAAAGCGTGTTCCAATTTTAAAGAAAATTGCTAAATAATACTAAAATCTAATAGTGAGACGTGTTACTCATCATTGTCGCTTAGACTCATCGTTATCGCCTTCGTGACGTCAAATCTCATGAACGTCATGTTAGTGACTTTATAATATTTCTGTGAATATTTTTATGATATTATTAGATTGCAGATCTTATTTAAACATTATTTTAATAAAATACCGTGCTGCGTCAACTTCTGACTTCGAAATAACCAGTACTATTAATTTTTAGATTAAGTTTTACTTCTTCTTCTTAGGGTGCCTGTCCGTTCCGAACGTTGGCGATCATTCTGCCTATGATGATTTTGTTGGTTGCTATATGAAATAGCTGTGTTGAGGTCTTTCTATACCATACTCTCAGGTTAGCAAACCAGGATATTCTTCTTCGTCCTGGGGCTCTTTTCCCTTCAATTTTACCCTGCAAAATGCATTGGAGTAGCTCGTATCTGCCTTGATTTCTCATTATATGTCCCAAGTACTCCAGCTTACGGCTCTTCACAATGTTGACCAAATCCGCGGTTGTGTTGTTCCTCCGCAGTACTTCTTCATTGGTGACTTTGTCTGTCCATGGTATTTTCAGGATTCTTCTGTATAACCATAATTCAAACGCCTGAAGTTTTTGATAGAGTTTCCGCCTTCAATGTCCACGTTTCTACTCCATACAGAAGCACTGAGTACACGTAACATTTAAGGAGCCTTATTTTTGTTTTCAGGGTGAGGTCATGGCTTTTGAACACAAAGCTCATAGCCAAGTTTTACTAACTTCCGATATTATTTTATTGTTTTTACTTACGATACGTCAATGTTATAGCAATTAAGGGGATTATATGCTAAGGGGTACAAGTGATAAGATGGTTAAGCTGAGAAAGATGAAGTCAAAGTTAAAGTAGTAAATTCTACATCGAATTAATTACTTATCAACTTATGTTAAATTAATTTAACAAATTTTATTAATCTAATTATAAAATCGTTTTTACATCATCGGTTGGCGCTACAGCACTTCGTGAGCCTTGGCCTGCTTCAAAATATTCTTCCATCCTTCCCTATCGAGTGTCTGTCTTCTCCAGTCCCTCACTCCAATCTCCCTCAGATCTTCCTGTACATCGTCCAGATATCTGAGTTAGGTCGCCCCCTTCTTCTTCTTCCGACCGGCCTGTTTAGCATAGTTATTTTAGTGGGATCACTCTCATCCATCCGCATAACGTGGCCCACCCACCTTAGGCGGTTTATTTTGATGGTCTTCACAATATCTGCATCACCAAAAAGTCTATAGAGTTCAAAGTTATATCGCCTTCTCCACAGACCCTGTTCGTTTACTCCGCCAAATATGGTCCGCAATACTTCTCTTTCAAAGACTCGTAGTAACTCTTCATCTCGGGTCGTCATTGTCCATGTTTCCGATCCGTATGTGAGCACTGGGTGTATTATTGTTTTATAAAGTTTGCACTTTGTTGCTATTGACATACTTCTCGCTCTTAGTTAAGGGCCCAGGCCGAAATAACAGCGGTTAGTCACGCATATTCTTTTTTTATCTCGTTGGATGTGTTATTTTTGTAGTCTACCAGTGATCCTAAGTAGCAGAATTCTTCTACCATTTCTATCGTTTCGTGTTGCACCTCTAAGTTATTTTGTTGAATTCTTGATATGGCCGGCATATATTTAGTTTTCTGGATGTTAATCAGAAGTCCGATGTTTTCTGCGGCATTTTTGATACGTGTGAAAGCCTCCACTGCTTTATTTTGGGTTCTTCCAATTATGATTAAAAATCGTTTTTACATTTAGTATTTATTTTCATTCAAAACATTTGACATTTTGAAACTTACGTAGGTACCTTAGGAATTTCTTAAAGTAAAATAAAAGAAAAATAACGTTAAACACTTTATTCTTTAAACAAAAAAAAATATTCTATTTTTAAACAACAAACACTTTATTCTTCAAACAAAAAAATATTCTATTCTTAGAACAAACACACAGAACACACATTTTATTCTTCGAACAAAAAAACATATTTATTCGTCATAATCTGAGACCAGGTCCAGTTGAGTGTCTTTTTCATTTTTCAAAGGAATAATTACTTCCAATTCTTGGAAGTTTCTTTCATGTTGTGGGTTATTAAAGGATTCGCGACTTCGACCTTCATCGTGGCTTAAATTACGGTAAAAATCATGGTGAATGGGAGGTATAAAGGGTAAAAGTTACAACAATTTTTTTAATTTTGAGAGTGCTATTTTGATGAAATCTTGTCGGAAAGGCGCAAGTTCAATGACCGATGGAATTTCTGCAGGTTGTCCTACCCTTTCAGTTTGTTGTTTCTCAAATCAACAATGTTAAAGGGAAAATCTTCGGACAGAGTATCCTTATAAAATAATGTGCAAGGTGTTTGCTTTTCGAAATGACACCATTGCATTCTTCGTAAGCCCTTTACTTTGTCGTTCATTATCTTGGTTAACAAAGCTATACTTTTAAAATCATTTACATCAATTTTGTTCACCAAGAACTTGTTACTAGATTAAACTACAACATCCATCCAATCACTGGGGATAAACACAAAAGATGTTTTTCTTTTTAGTTTTTCAATCACTTCAAACTTTTGATCACATTCCATAAAAAAATGATTGAAAATTTCTCCACCCAGATGAGATTCGAACTCACGACCTTTAGGTTTAAAGGTAGGCGCTCTTACCACTGAGCCACAGAGGGGGTAAGTTCCAAAATTTAATAATATGCATATTTTTGTTTTGCCCTCCTGCATTATCACTAAATGCGCTAATGTACTTAATAGTGGACGGTAAGCTTAAAATAAATTTCAGAAGACATGAAATTATCTCCTCAGCCCCTCTTGACGCTTCTCCTTCATGCCACATGAACATTTGTGCTGTACCTTTAGCAAGGTCATGAATATTCAAATTATAGGTCCACAATTGCCTCAGGTAAAATACTTTGCTATTAGTCAATAGGGGTATTGGCATAGACTTTTCGAGATCAAAGCAAATAACTACTCGATCTGTAGATCTTCAGCTTTTGCTTTATTTTTTGCTTGTCGAGCTTTATCTGCTTTTTTAAGATGAACTTTTTTATTAATCTTTGCAGCAGCTGCATCTTGTGGTCTTCCGGTTTTTATTGTGTTATCAATCTGGTCACATCAAAAAATACATGTATCTGTATAAGGTCTGTGGAAACCAAGATTAAAGCAGTTATTGAAAATATAGCGATAGTCGCTGATTTTGACAGGTTTTTCATTGTGTTAAATACAAAATTCTTTGTAAAGTTCATATATGTTATTGACATTTAGTGCATGATCTAGATCTTTTCTATTTGGATTGTTATGACTTGTATAATGACTTTTTAATTTTGGTAATAATTTTATGTATCTCTTCACAAAATTTGTTACAGAACTATCAAACTTGTTGGAAGGTATGTGTTTTCCTCTTCTGTCAGTAGGTGGTATGTCAGTGGTAGAGTCAAATTTTTTTCTCATAACGTTAGCAAATCGTTAGTTGCTTATATCCAAAGTGCGCAAAAAAATGTTTGCATATACGTTTCTCATTTAAATGTATAGCTGTGCTAACTTTTTTATGACTTATGGCTCTTTGAACTTTACGACGAGGAGCACTTACTCTAATGCACGAATGCAAAAACGAAGTTTGAAGATTCCAATTTTGTAATTCCCAAAATTTGTTAAAAATATTAACTCTGTCATTTAACTCGTTGCATTTATACCTACAGGAATAGGGATAAGGTCGCATTTGCTTAGCTGCGTGAGTTCCTTCCGAAACGGAAGAATGATCTGAAATTTTACAAATACCACTTGACGATGTGTCGTCATCATCACAGCTGTGTCATAATGATCTTTATCACCTATAAAAATGAATAGAAATAAAAACTTAAAAATAATGACTTCGCTTAAGATAAACCCAGACTTTAATATTTTCAAGCAAAATACTTAAGTGCCGAGTGATTATTAATATTAAAAATTGTAAAATGTACCAACTTCTTCGATTATTTTAGTTTAAATAAATTCATGTATATAAGGTAAACCATTGAGGACAAAACTAAAACATACTACTAACAATATTGCAATAAAAACGAGAAATATTGACTCTGTAAACCCTGTAAACATCTAAGTATTTTATATTACCCAAAAATAAACCAAATTAAAATTTAAAAAAAACTAAAAATAAATAGGAACATTAAAAAAATAGTCAAAATGTTTTTACTACTAACTTGGTATATTTTGTGGTATTATTTCACTCATTTTGAATACTTTTTTAACAGCTCGATTTGCAATGGTGCTAAACGATTCACTCAAAACCTTAAAAAACCTTAATTCACCTGTATCTGTTTGCCACTAAATTTTTAGTACTATCTAGTATTATTTTCTGCGCTGATTTTACAATATTTTATCGCTTTGAGAATTTGGGAATAATTTGAACTTTGATTATTAGACCAAATTCAAGATGAATTGTTCAAAACTTTATTTTATTTTTATTAAATCTATTTTATACAAAAGTAAAACTATACATTGAATTTTAGGATCCAAATGATAAAACAAAACCCCAAAGTTTACGTATTGTAGACTGGCAAATATCTACTTTGGGAAGCCCATGTGCGGATCTATCTTATTTCCTTCTTGTTAACACTCCTGAAGAGGTTCTAGATGATATCCAAACTTACCTAAAATTTTACTATGACAAACTGGCTTCGCAACTTCGTAATTTTAATTTGGAACCCGACGAATTGTTTCCATTCTCTACGTTTTTAGATCATTTCAGACTATGTCTATTACAAAGTTTTTTCATAGTATTAATAGTTTTAAAAGTAATGGTAACTGACAAAGAAGATATACCTGATCACGTGGAAGCTGCTGATAAAACGGGCGAGCCTTTCGCTTTGGTGAATTATGAAACAAAAAATTTTGAAGAGTATGCTAGAAGATTAAAAATTGTAATGCAGTTTTTGGTTAAAAACCAGTATTTGTGATATAAAATTAATATTTAAATAAAGTCTATTTCTTAATTTTGGTTTATTTTCATATAGAACTCATTATTATACGGTCAATTATTATTAGATTTTGATTCGATACAGAGCAGCGACAAGCCGCACATACGTATTTCGACCTATTTAGGTCTCCTCAGTACAGTATAGCCACTACTCCGTATCGAAACAAAATCTTTTCCCGTTGTAGAACATAGTTATCAAAAATAACTATGTACAGACGTAACTACGCCATCTAAGAACAAAAAGAGAAATTATACGATTTCTACCTGGCGAAATCGAATTCAAATCTCAGCCACCGTGCTTTCTAAAACTCGTAAGTTGTTAATTAATTTTCCATTAACATTAACTCCCGCTTTGATATTATTGAGCGTGCTTTGAAAAAATTTTTTCAGAATATAAGTTAAACAAAAGTGGCGATAAAACACATCCCTGTCTAACTTCTCTACAGATCTTCATTTCTTCTGGGTGTTGCTCATCAATTTAAACTATGGCACTTTGGTTCCAATATAATGTTTGCACTATATCTATGATTTTACTGTCAATGCGCTTGTTCATATGTATTGATATAATTTTTCATGTCTTACTTTATCAAAAGCTTTTTTGTAGTCAACAAAGCATAAGTGTAGATCAACATTTACATCTCGACATCGCTGAATCAACCTGTTATTGGCAAATAGTCCTTCTCGAGTACCCATTACATTTCGGAACCCGAACTGCGTCTCGCTAATATCATCCACTAGACTTTCGTATATTCTCTTAATTATTACTTTCAGCAGTACTTTTAAAGTATGACTCATGAGGCTCAGTGTTCGATAATCAGAGCACTCTTTTGCTGCTTGTTTTTTGGGGATGTTATACATGTTGATAATAAAAGGCAAAATAGAAGGAAAGCGAGGAATTGGAAGAAAAAAATTGTCCTGGTTACGTAATATCAGAAACTGGACAGGACTTGGATTTGAGGAACTCTTTTTTTGATTTGAGGAAGAACAGCTGAAGATAGACAAACGTTTGCCACCATAACCGCTAACCTCCATTGATGGAGACGGCACTTGAAGAAGAAGATACATGTTGAGTTCAGTCACTCTTGTGGTATTATTCCCGTATCATACACCGTATTAAATAAATCTGCCAGTACTTCCAAGTTATCCTCTTTCACTAGTTTTGACAGTTCTACTGGTATTTGATCTAATCCAGCTGCCGTATTGTCTTTAGAGTTTTTGATAGCATATTTGTTTTCATCTAACGTGATTTTGTCTCTCTAAAGGATTTAATTCTTGTATTTTATGCATTTCACCTCTTTCATCTTGGAAAAGTTCTCTGACGTACTCCTCCCATCGTCTTAATTTCTCTGGTAAATCTATTAGTAGTTCTCCTTTTATGCCTGTTGGAATTTTACCACATTAAAGAAGTTTCTTCGCTGGTTTGGAGTCTAGGAATAATTTAGGCAACTTTTTCCCAAAAAAAAACCTTTATTTCCATAAACACAATGTCACTAAACTTCTGGATTCCTACAAGGAAGAGCCACTAATGTTTTTACAACTTAATTTTAATAATTACAATTTTATATGAATGACCAGAAGTCAATTTTGTCAGACCGACATTTTTATTATAACGAACACTTTTTTTGACAACGCGCAAGCGTTGGAATTTTAAGACATAGAACATATTGTGTTACATAGAACATAAAATATATTAAAATATAGTGTTGGGAATTTATTTCGCCAACATGCTGGGGGGCCTTGGTTTTGATAACAAAACTAGATACGTATAAATACTAATAACTACAATACTAATACTAGATACTAATTTAATGTTGAAATTTTAAATCCCCTTTTTCCTTAAAAAAAAAATAAATTTATTCATCATTAATGGGTTAAAACAGCAATTTTAGTAACAGAGCGCAAGTATGTTCCATTTTTAGTTTTTACTTCCACCACTCTTACCTTTCCGTCTTTACCAGGAATAGTTTTTATAATTCTTGCTATAGGCCACCTAAAAGAAGCAACGTTGTCCTCCTTTACAAGTACAAGCATACCTTCTTGTAAATTTGGCAACGATGTTCTCCATTTAGGTCTGTTTTGAAGTTGCGTTAAATAATCTTGGTACCACTTTTGCCAAAAATGCTGCTGCATTTGAACACACAACCTCCAAAATTTTAATCTATTTTGAGGAATCTCTGTTAAATTAGTTTCAGGGAAACTTGTCAAAGGAGCACCTATTAGGAAGTGACCTGGTGTGAGATAATCTAGGTCAGTTGAATCATTATTAATAGGCATGAGAGGCCTTGAATTTAATATTCCCTCAACTTGAATAATTAAAGTATTAAACTCCTCATATGTCAAAATATTATTTCCCATCACTCTTTTGATATGATGTTTTGCACTTTTTACCCCAGCCTCCCATAGACCTCCAAATACTGGAGAATAACTTGGGATGAAGCAAAATTCAATTTTATCGTCAAGGCAAAAATTTTTTAAATTGACATTGTCTTTTAGAAGTTTTTGTAATTGATTGTTTGCTCGCTTGAAGGTGGCACCATTGTCACAAAATATTTTGGATGGTTTACCCCTTCTAGAAATGAACCTTTTTAATGAAGCTAAAAAAGTATCTGTTGTTAGATCAGAGAGTAACTCCATATGAATTGCCTTCACAGAAAAGCAAACAAACAATGCTATATATGCCTTTGTCATTACAGACTTTCTAATACATGACTGTTTAATTTGGAATGGACCACAGAAGTCTATACCAACATTCTGAAAAACTCTCGCTGAACGCACCCTCTGCTCTGGGAGAGATCCCATTAGCTGTTCACTACACTTGGCCTTAAATTTGAAGCAGCTTACACATTTGTGCAAAATCTTTTTAATCTCTTTAGTAGCACTAACAATCCAAAAATTTTGATTTAATGAACTTAAAACTTGTTTTTGACCTGCATGTAAAAGTCTCAAGTCCTCTCTGTGAATTAAAAGATCAGTGATATGATTGTTTTTGGGAAGTATTAAAGGATGTTTTTTATTAAACGAAATATTTGAGTTCTGGAGTCTACCACCAACTCTCAACAGTCCCTCAGAGTCCAAGAATGGACATAAAGAATTTAAATTAGACTTAACTGCTGTGTTGTTGGTAAGACATTTTATTTCATCAAAAAAATGAAAACTTTGTTCATGTTTAATAATGGTTTTAAGGCTATTATCCAGTTCTAAAACTGTCAAACTTCCAGTAAACCTTTTATTTTTATTTTTTGTATTATTTACAAATCGTAGGCAATAAGCTACTATTTTTTGAAGTTTTGTTAAGCTAGAAAATTTTATGAAAAAAGATTCTGGTTTAACCTTAGCAAAAGTGACAACCTTACATTCAGGCAAATGGTCTGGAATAGGAAATTGAATTTCAGCATGTAAAAATTTAATATTTGAAAGAAATTTAGGACCATTAAACCAAAGGCTGTTAGAGTTAAGTTCATGAGGTTCAATACCCCGAGAAAGACAATCTGCTGGATTTTCCTTAGTGTTTATATACAACCATTTAAATTCAGATGTCATTTCTTGAATTTTAAGAATTCTATTAGCAACATAGGGATTCAATTTTAAAGGTTCTGACTTTATCCAAGCTAAGACAATGTTTGAATCTGAATATAGAAATACTTTGCCGACTTTATCTTTTAACAGTTCAAAAACCTTGTGAGACAATTTTGAAAGCAACAAAGCACTGTTCAGCTCAAGTCTTGGCACAGTTAATTTTTTGTTTATAGGAACAATCCTAGATTTGGAACAAATCAAATTTACATGTACTTTATTTTTAAATATAATTCTGGCATAAATTACAGCTCCATATGCAATCAAAGAAGAGTCACAAAACCCAACTATTTCAATATGAAAGGCACCAGTAAAGTATAAATTTCTTTGGACAGTTACTGTGGGCATGCTCATTAAACTTGTAACAAAATTCTTCCAATTATCAAGTAAATTACTAGGCATCACAGCATCCCATTTAACCTTATTTAACCAAAGTTTTTGCATAATTACTTTTGCAGCTACTAAAACTGGGCCTACTAATCCCAAGGGTCATAAAATTTAGAAATAAAACTCAGAACTTGTCTTTTAGTTACACATTCATTTACATCTACTTTTGGACAATTAAATTTAAAATTATCTGTTTTTGTGTCATAAGTTAATCCCAATGTCTTTACTGTCAAATCATTTTTGCTGAGATTCATTTCATCAAAATTTTGTTTATTCTTGGGAATATCATTTAAAATATGTAAATTATTTGAGCACCATTTGTGCAACTCGAAGGACCTTAATTTTAGTAACTCTATAAGCTCATTTTTTAATTTTATTGTTTCTTCAATAGTGTCACCACCACACAAAATGTCATCAATATAGGTGTTATTAAGAAGAGCCTGTGCAGCCAAAGGATAGTTTTTACCTTCAGTTCGGGCTAATTCTACCAAACACCTGGTAGCCAAAAAGGAAGAACTTCTTAAACCATATGTTACAGTTTGAAGTTGTATACATTGCAAACTGCCATTTTTCTCTCGCCACAAAATATTTTGTAATTGGCAATGATCTGGATGTACCAAAATCATTCTGTACATTTGTTTAATATCTGTCAAAAGGACATACTTATGTTTTCTAAAAAGGACGAGAATATCAAAGAGCTCCTTTTGGACTACAGCACCATTATAGAGATAATGATTTATACATTTTTTCTCTTTTGATTTCATACTACCATCGAAGACAACTCTTAATTTTGTGGTTTTCTTGTCTTCACGTATCACTGGATGGTGAGCCATGAAGTATACAGAACCACTATTTAAATCATACATACTGAGACTTACTATTTTGGCATGCTTTAGAGCTAAATATTCATCAATAAAACTTTTGTATTGACAGTAGAGTTCAGAATTGGAGTTTAATCTTTTTTCTAAGTTCTCAAGGCGTTTTAATGCTACAGAAAATGAATCTCCTAAATCCAAATTTAGTAAATTTTGTTTTAATGGCAATTTAATTTGGTATTTAT